TTTTTCTGAGACATTGAGCCTTCTCTGCCAGAGAGCTCTGATGCTACCATAAACTACAGTTCCCATTATTCCTTAGCACTGAGCCAGGACTGTTAAAGTGGCCTCAATTTGCACTATTTCTGACAGTCTGTAAATAGTCGAAGAACCCTGAAACAATCTGTACGAGTTCAGTATCACTTCCTACATCTTGCACCACAAAAACACTGGACTTTTGTTAAGCTGTGGCATGAAATTGTATTACAGTCTCCCCTCCATTTTCACAGGGGATCTGTTCCAGACCCACTCACCCCGCGAAAGCAGAAAATCGCAAATATTCAAGCCCCATTTTATCCCTCTCCATTTTCCGCCCATGAACAGGCGAGGGACACGGATACCAAGTCTGCGAAAGCAGGGGGGAGACTGTATACACACACATGATAGAGCAGATGTGACCTAACAAACACCTTCCGTTTGTGCTCTAACTGCAATACTAGACATTGGCTGGTGCATCCAAAAGATGTTATGAAAACAAGGTACAGCAGAGTATATATTGACATTTCCAACAAGTGCTAGCATAACATTCTTCAGAATCTACCTAAAAGTGAAGTGGGCCTTCCATTTTAATCCAGGTCAAAACCAAAACAAAACAAAATATTATACTCCAAATATCACAAGCTTGGGAAATACATCTAAAGTGTATATTACAATTCACTGTGGAACATCACTCTGATGTTAATATTCAAAACTCATTTTAACCATATTTTACAAGAGAGATGGAGCAAGAGGTCTAGCCACCTTTGACTTGCAGACATTGTAATTAATCTACTTTCCTCAGCCCCCAATATCATTTTAATTTCACTGCTTCCAAATAAAACTCCTTTCATCTAACTTAACTGCAAAATGGACCTGGTCCAGAAGCTGGGCATTCCCGTTCCTCCTAAGCCCTTTGTAAAAATATTAATAAGGATTTGCAACTCGGGGCGAGGGGGCCTCATGGATTATTCTGCCCTGTGTGAGCACACAAAAATGGACACAAGCAGAGCCACCAAAGAGCCTCAGATGAGGATGATAAATGATGAACATCTTCTCTCAGGATGGGAGCAATGACAGAGGGAGTGACTTCAATGAGAAAAGGATGAGTCTTCCTCTTTGATCTCTGGCCAGAGCTGTAAAACAAGCAGGTCCTGCCTTTTCAGCTTCTTCCTCTCCTCCTCTTATGCTGCCTTTGTGTGTTTGGCTCTGCTCAGTCTCACAGTCACTACATAATCATGAAATGCTAGCAATATAATGTGGAGAAGACCCAGACTAATGACATGTGAGGGCTTGGAAAGAAGTCTTGTGTCTTTATTTTTGGAACCACTCTGCTTACTTTCAAAAAGAGTATAGCAAGCAGTGCTTTTTAAAGAGCAGAAATGCTCTACACCAAGCATTGTTTCAGTGACAGAGACATCACCCTAAAGCACGGGTAGGCAACCTTTTTGAGCTGGGGGCCGGTCCCCCGAAGTCCTCCCCTCTGCCGGGCTGAGGGGGGAGGAATGGTGGCGTGCACAAACCCCCCATGCATGCTGCCACCGCAGCGCATGCGGCCACCACCACATCCGCGCATGTTGTGGCTGCCATTTTGATTTGCAAAATGGCGTCCGTGACGCATTTGCGCATGCGCAGTACTGCTGCGCATGCGCAAACGTGTCGTAGCCGCCATTTTGGAAATCAAAATGGCGGCCGCAGTGCGCGCAGCCGCACGGCAGCCAAAATGACTGGCGGCGGCGGCAGCAGCAGGGGTCTGCCTGGGCCGGTAAGTACCGGGACCTGGGCCGGAACCGGCCCACGGGCCATAGGCTGCCGGCCTCTGCCCTAAAGGCACCAGATCCTGTCTAATCTTGGAAACCAAGTAGTGTCTG